TCCAACTGAACTTTTCAACAAGAAAGCATCAGTTTCTCTAGGGTCTGCTTCATATTTTCGGTCAAGCTTCCCTCCCTCAGGTAACACCAATCTTCATCCAGATACCCAAAGCAACTTAACAGGGTATTGGATAGTTTCAGCAGTTGCAGTTGCTGTGGGCAAACAAAGACGTTTTTTCTCAAAACAGCTTTTTTGTGAACTTGTGCATTATTTTATTTTCTTAAATAAGAAGGTAGTCTGCTTTCTAAGACCTTGAATAGTTCCCTAATTTTGGTTGTTGGAAAGCTGTCACTAAGCTCTTCTTGTTRTCTAAGCAGAGGCAAACCAGAAATTTCAGTATGCATGACCATCTCACAGCCAGTGTCTTCCATAAGCACACATTTTGGGGATGGCTTCTCTGACGGTGAGACTCGGTCCTGGAGGGCAGGGACAGTGCTCAAGCTGCACCCACTCCACTGTGTGACCCATTCWGCAGGTGAACTTTTTAATGTGTGTCTGTTGTGACATGCAGGGCTTTCCACCATCCAAACCTGCCAAAAGTGCCTGCAGCCAGTCCTCTAGCACAAAAACCTCTTCTTCAGAAGTGGATGTTTCATCTATGGAAGACAGCTAACTAACATTGTTGCCAAAMGTCCTGTCTGCCTTTTGGTACAGTAAAGAGTCCTGAGCTTTCTCAATAAGTTTTCTTCTGTTTCTTTGCAAAAAACCTTCCATTCTCAAATAATATCTTTACTTCCCCCTGCTGCAGTCACATTCAGCATTGATCAGGAAGTAAATTTGCTATCTGTTTAGACAGAGTTCAAATTTTCTCAGCACTGTAAGTTAAACTAATTTTTTGCTGTTGCAAGGATGGCCTGGTCTAATGTGAGAAGGGAAGGGGCAGAGGGAAAGACTGGKGTGGTCCTGAAGTCAGATGTACTTTTGCTATTGCCAGTGTTATGGGAAGGCAGTGACTGCTGCAGTGGGGTGGACTGTCTTCATGAAYCACAGGTTCACAGAGGGACAACCAGCAAACAGAGAAACCTGAACACCCACATCATGCATTACTGTAGGCGGGAGATTTGTGGAAAAGTAGAGCATTTCTAGTATTGGTCACTATAGTTGCAGTGAGTGAGATTCATCAAGAAGAATCACTCACACTTGTTCCTACAGCATCTTTCACCCACAGGATTTCAGAGCATCTACCAGGAAAAAACCACAAAAAACAAATGCAAAACAAAAAGCAACACACTAACATACCCACGTGCACATTCCCCAATATTCAAAAGGGTTTGAGCCCCATATTRACACTTCCCATTTGGTATAAATATAAATAAAATTGTATAAACAAAAACTCAGTTAATTTGCAAAGTCAAGCACTCAGAAAATGTACCAAATACACGAAAATCAGAATTTATTGTGGTTTTCTTTTCACACAAGGRCTGCAGCTCTCAAAACATCTTACAGACATCTTCACTATGTCTCTGGAAGAAGGTCAGATATGGACTGTATAAGCGACTCAAGGTGGATAGAAAATCCTCTAAGGTGGATAGAAAATTGAGTGGACTGCCTGACTCAAAAGGTTGRGATCAGCAGTACAAAATCCATCTGGTGGATTACAGGTTACAACTGATGATGTCCCCCTGGGACTGGAACTGTGGCCARCTCTTTTTAATGTGTGGATAATGCCAAATTGCAGGGATGTGGTCAATATTCTGGAGGCCAAGGATGCTATTTACAGGGACCCTGACAGKGGGAGGAATGGACTGMCAGGAGCCTCATGACAATCAGAAAWKGCAAATGMCAAGTSCTGTATATGGTTCGGAAWAACTTTGTGCAACATCTCAGCTTGGCCAATTGTCTAGGGAGCAGCTTTATAGAAAGGGGCCTGGATGTCCTGGTGTGCCTCAAGCTGGATGTGAGATTATCTCAGCTGGTCAGAGCATGGTGCCAACAGCACTAAGGTTGTGGGTTCAATCCCTTATGAGCTATTCATTTAAGAGTTGGACTTGATGATCCTTCTGTTCCCTTCCAACTCAGGATATTCTGTGATCTGTAATATGTTGGCAAAGAGCAACRTATGTTGGGCTGTGTTAGCAGGAATATAGCCAGCAGGTCGAGAGTAGTCATTTCCTCTCTGGTATTCCAYACTTGTGAATTCCACAGCTGGGGTACTGTGTCTGCTCTGGAGTTCTTTCCCTGTTGAAGAAGTTCACTGACAAATTGGAGCAAGACCAGCAGAGAGTCACCAGGACAGTGAGGGGACAGGAGCAYGTGGTGTTTGGAGAGAGCCAGAGCTGGTTTTGTCCAGTCCCATGAAGAGAAGGCCAAGGGAGATGGTTTTGCTCTCCCCAGCTCAGTAACGTGAGTCAGACTCTTCTGTGTGGTGCACACTGATAGGATGAAAGGCAATGGGTGCCAGCTGCAGCATGGGAAATTCATTCAGATGTTAGGAGGATCGTTTTCACCATGAAGGGGGCTCCTTCCAGAACAGGCTGCCCAGAGAAGCTGTGTCATTTCCGGACATTCAAAACTTGACTTATAAGGTATTGAGCCATCTGATCTTGCTGGAGCAATATTTAAMGGGAGGAAGGACAAAGTGACTTCTAAGGTCTCTTCCAATGTAAATGACCCCAGTTCTAAGGGGAAGTTCAGTCCCACTAAAAGCTGTCACTTCCATTATAAAACTTACTGGTTGAGGGGGATGTGAAATGAAAAGCTCATGGCATCCCATGAAAACAATTTGGACTTTAGAATTTTCAAATTATTTCAGTAGGTCAACACCAAGGCTTTTTAAAGTTTTGTTTCATTTTTTTGTTTCTCTAGAAGGACATGAGAAAAGATTAGATGTTTTCTGGTAATCAAATAGTAACTAAGCCTTTGAGCTCTTTCATCCAGAAAGGGTACCCTGACCTTCAGGTCAGAAAGCGTTAGCCTCCCTCTTCTGCTGGMACAGCATATACTCTATCTGAAAAAAGTAACTCTGAAAGGGGTAAGTGAGGCATTTTTACAGGGAAAATAATTCMGTTTGAAATTTCTGACCAGGTCTACATGGTACTCAGTGCAGGACCACACAGCAACTTTAAAACAAAAAGAAACTTCCTCACACTGCAACTATTGTAATTTCTGAAATAGAAGGAAATTGTGAGGACAAAGAAGTTGGCCAGTATTTTGAGATTAACACTTCTGAAATGCAAAGTATGTCCCAAGACAGATTATAATCATAAATGATAGAGCTCTGCTTTTGTCTCCCACAGCAATGATGTATTTGATGTAAACAGGGACTTCCCACAGGAAAAAAAAAGCAAGAATGAGACTTCAGACTTTGAGCTCATGTGGTTGCCAGTGTGTTGTGACTGTGGTGCTTTTGTATGTGTCAAGATGGGCGGTGGTAACCAGTTTTGGAACAGACTTCATGATCAACTACGAGATTAAAATGCTTTCAGTGATAAAGATAGGGCCTTTRTCTTCTTTGCATCATCCAGACAGTACAAAGAGATGTAAATGCATCCTAAGTATCACATAAAATCTTTGTTGCCTGTTTCTTCATTACTTCTTTGGACACAGATGGKTAATTACGGATGGAAAATGCTCTCATGTGCCAGACAGTGTCCTAGACATCATCCTGTCAGCCATGTCTGAAGAGGTGAGCATGGGGAAAAACTGGCCCTGATCATTTCCTTTCAGCCAGGCTCCATTCATATGAACATTCAATATTTCATATTTCCATTTTCATCYTCCATTGCAGTCTTGCAGTTCTTCTCTGCCTGGGTAACCAGTGCCTACCACAGCAAGTTCCTGGCCCCTGCTCACTACTGCAATAGAGTGATASTTGTCCCCAGCCATCCAGATGTGGGCACACTTGTACTGTGGATAACAGTGATAGCAAAATGAGAACTAGGAGGAAGTTATTGTTATGCCGTTGGTAGCTACAGGACATTTGGGGAGAGCATGTGAAGCAGCAAAAGTGATGCTGCCATCTGTGTGTTTGCTATCACTGTTATGCTAGGTTGCCTTGAATGTTACWAGGCACTTTATCCAGTTCCCAAATTGCTTAGTGAATACAGGCAAGGTTATGCTTCATGGATTTGATGGCCAAAAATTCACCATCCTGACTTGTAAYTGGTTTGTACTCCGGTGAGGCTTAAGGACACTTAGAGATGCCTCTAGCCACCACAGGCACCTTGGGGAGTTCCCTGGGAACCTAAGAGTACATGGCTTCCCACAGACACCCTGGGAATCCCAGAGAGTCTTTTGCTTCAACGTATTTGCTGTCTTGATTCTGGTTCTGCACAAATCCTGGATCCTTAGTTTGATCCCTCTATCCCCCTCCCCTTCCTGGCTCTTAATTTCATGCCCCAGCCATTTGCACAAGCCCAGTGCCACTCCCACTCCCCTTTTTTKCAGATGTGAAAGGGATGTCTCTTCCAGACTGCTAACAAAGTTTTTCTCAAAAAATGCTCTACCACATCCAAGCCAGGATGTATCTCCAGAGAAACACTTTCCTCTGCAGGGCCACTATGTTCAAATCAGGCAAAAAAAGTYTTCTAAAAGCTTTATTAGAGTCTGTCTACCAAGCCTGTGAACTCTCAGGCCACGAGAGGAAGCTTTTAAAATGCTCTTCATGTACAGGAAAGCCTTTTGTCTTCAAGAGTTCAACACAGGCCCCTGTCCCAGCYGCACTGTCCCGCTTCCCAGCAGTTCCCATCCTTTACCCCTCTGCTCTCTGCTGCTTGCTGGAAGTGAAAGATGCTGCAGCAGGCAGTACTGCAGCCCTCTGGGTTTGGAGAGGGTCTTATCTGGTGTTTATACTCTCAGTACGGTACATGGTCACAAAGGAAGCCTGCCCAGAYCTGCCTGCTATGGCTGGTGATAGAAAATGTGCTGCCTGATGCATTCTGAGGGTTAAAGGGGTTTCACTTTTTTCCATCACTCTGATATTTTCAGGGGTTTTTTTAATAAATTTCTTCAGGTTTAGAAAGACATTGTGTGTGAGAGACTGTGCACAATTTAGCAGGGGGTGTGTTTTTAAACTATTAGCTTTAATAAATAGTTTTATGTCATGGTAATAAGACCAGTACTTCTGATAGCTTTGACAGCAGACCTAAGAAGTCTGATCCCCAGAGTTAAGGAGTTTTTTACAGCTCAGAGCCAGGGGACAGGGTCAGGCACCCAGCTGCCACAGCACCTTACATTTCCAGTCATCTCTGCCACTGTGGTAATTGTCATCAGGAGCTGATGTCCCACACAGTTGTTCCCCATTGCCTTTTTCCACATCTCTGTTATCCTTGGGTCTTCACAAGAGAAAACAGTCAATGTGATACAATGAGGAGTAAGGCAGAGTTCAARATATCTGGGTTTCTGAACTCAAGATATCTGGGTATTTTTAGATTATCCAGGGTTGAGCATTGGAGAAGATGGTTTATTAAAGGTRTTTAACTTTTGAAGTTTCAGACTTGCAAAATACCCTTTTATATTCTTACACATTTTGTACCTGTAAGTAGATATACTATAGAAYGATTGAAGACCCAGACGGATGGTTTATTCTTCTCAAGCTTTCAGAGAGAAATAATCATGAGCTTTTAGAAACACTTTGGTTTTAAATATAGAAATSAGTAGATTCTAACATCATGATATGTGGTCTTGTTTTTGGAAGATGAGTTGGAATGTTTTTAAGTTTGTAATTTTCCTGACTGTGCAAATCTCCATAGAAGATATGGTAGATTTAATCTTTTCAAGAGGAACTGTCAGGCTCATATCTGCTGCAGGCTGTATCCTCTCTTTAACAGTGTGTTGGAACATTTATGAACAAAGTTATCAAAGCTCAAATATCTGCTCAGTTCCAATATAGACAGTCTGTGCTCAGGGACTCCAGCATCCATCCAGTGTAACTTGCTTTTCCCTCCTCTGGTTCAATAATGGCTCATAAGAATGAAGGTAAAACATCAAACTCCTTCAGTCTTACTATTGATGCTTTCTGACAAGCCATTGACTGAAAGGAGGGACCCCACAGGCACTTTCTGTTAAGAAGAAAAAGATAACAATAAACATTTGTTCAATGCAATCCCTTTCATTTACAAAGCATGAGCGGAAGTCTGTTTCTTTTAGAGCAGAAGAAATCAAATAGGAGTGACAGCATCTTGGAGCTGGGAACAAAAGCATTATCTTTCAGCCAAAAGTCTGTACAAGGGTGGGGGATTTTTCCCATTTCTTCAGCTATGAAGACGTCTATGTTTGTCTGCATATAGTCACTGACTTTTTTTTCTCTGCTGTGTCTGCATTTCTTTAACATTCACACAAACCACCAGAGATAGCAAAGGAGCCACTCTGCCTTTGTTGTGAGTCAAAATCTTTGTTGTTTGAGTGATTTGGTTCCAGAAGGGAGCCTAAGCCTTCCTGTAATAATGGGAAGTGTCTATGTCCAGTCCCTGACACTACATATCATGATAATAGCTCTGAARGTCTAAGAACACAAGCAAGGACAGGACTGTAGGTCTAATTTTCATGAGACCAACTAGTCTATGCACTCAAAAACTGTACATAAGTCTTTGAGCAGCCAAGCTTATACTATAGGTGTGAGACAAGCTGCAATTTTCATGGTACTGGTTAGGAACAATCACTTTGAGATCAGTTTATTTTTCAAGCAATAATTTTAACAGACTGAGGTAAAACACCCATGGACCACAGAGGGTGTGGTAAGGGGAGAGGTGGTACACAGCAAGGTAGGAAGCACTGAGGACTGTGAAACATCAGGTGAAGGGTGTGTGAAACATTGCAGCGTGACATGAAGCAAATGTCTCTGCTGATCTGCTGATTTTTRGTAGCTGGTAGAGGTGAATACTATTCCCTAGGCTTATTTTTAGCAGGTCTTTCTTGAAGACTGTTGAGTGGAGAATGGGCTAATTGTTTTATGAAAATGTTCCATCATGAGTAGCTGATTTAAAGATTGTCTGGGCATTGRTCCTGGGCTTGCTTGCTCAGAGGCCACTGCACATCACAGCTAGAGACTTMCTCCCTCAGATTCTGCACTGGGCAAAGCAGTAATAAGGAGTTGAAAATAGAGTCGTGCATTTTCTTATGATTTAATATTTTTTTCTTGTCATCTCATCTGATAAACTTGTCCAGCCATCCCCAAGTAATTTTGAGTATCTTTTCCAATGCAGGAAAAACCACACAGCCAATTCCCTTCAAATTAGTTTAGCTATGCGAGAGCATGAGAGTGGTTAGGGAGGGTGTGGTGCAAGTTCATCAAAATCAGATAACGCAGGGAAACTAATTACAAGTTTTAACTGTTGTTGCAATCTCTTCTGTGGAAGAGAAGTTTTCACATTAACATTTCTTGCATTAGAGGTGAAATCAGATCCTGATCCCGCACTTGCTGTGTTTGGAGTGCTGCCAAAAAGCTCTTTTAAAAAAGGCATTCCTACTGGAATATGTCATGGACTATTCTCTGCCCCSGGCTCAGATGGGGAACTGGAATGCAGACCTCCCAGTCACACTCTAGTGGTGGCATTCGCGAGGCTCACGTTGCAATCTAGAGAAAATAAGCATCGAGGCAGAGGCAATACCACATGAAAATGACAGGGAGAAGCAAGCAAAAGCCATGTGCTGTCTGTAGGGAGTTCGGCAAATCCACAGCTCTGTAAACCTSCGTTTAACACTGGCTGGAGCTTAAGTCAGTGTAACACCTAGCTGGGATTTACACACACATACTTGTACTAAAAAGTTATTTTATTGCTTTTAAAGGCGGTATCATCTCCACAAGAGAAAGAGCTGCCTAAAGAGTAGAGTGAAAAGCAAGAGGAGATGAAAGCATCTGAGCTMAAAAGGTGAGAATCAGGTCATGGAAAACTCTTTAAGGAAGAGCATTAGAGGCAAAGTCCTCCTCATTAAACTTGTGGTTAACCCATCTCCCTTAGAAGTGACTACCCTTCTGTAAGGAGAAAGAAGTGACAATRGATATATTCTGAACTCGATATAATTTCATATTAGATTCTTTGTTTCCCAGGTTAATTTTGAACAAGACCCACTCCATCCCAGTAAATATTTCCTATACTTTCCTTGGTGTCATGTCAGATTAAAACTGGAATATCTTTTTGAGATCATGTGAAAATGGTTCTATTTTTTGCTGGGTAACTGTCATGAATATCAGTATACTAAATAGAACAGATTGTGACAATAAAAGTGTTGATCTCTGTGGCTGCTGAAAGAGTGACATTAAGTGAATCTCACTGATATTTAATTTGCAAATTGAACTGCACCTACTGAGGGAGGGGAAAAGCAGCAACACTTGTGTTGATGAGAAATTCTGCATTTGAAAACACTCCTTATTAATGATTCAAAACATACAATTCCTAGGAGCTGTAAACAAGTTCAGTATTCTGCACACTAATCCATAACCATTATCATATGTAGAGAACAAGAAGTTACTCATAAACAGATGTTCCCTCTGCCAAACCCATTCATTTAATGCACATTTYACTTTCCAAGTCCTCGTTAGCAACTTTCTGTGGTGGGTGGATTACATGAAAGCATGGAAAAGAAGGGATAAGTCTGCCTGCAAAGGAGCAATGTTTTCATGACTGTTGTGAGTCTTTTCCATCTTGCCTGTTGTGGAAGAGTTACTCATCTTGGACTTGCTCTCACTGCCCTGGAGGGCACTGAGCTTTTTGCTTCCAGGCACTGTGAGGCCATGGGAGATGCCAAACGTGTTCTGTTACCAGAGAGCTGYGTCATTAAATGTGCTCTCTGCTCTGACTGGGAATTAAGCTTGGCATTCACAAATGCTTATGCCCAGAGAAGGCAATTATCTTGCCATAAGTTATAGGTGAGCTTTCAGGAAAAGGTATGCCAAAAGCAAGGRTGGAGGAAGAATTACTGCTCAAAGCATAACTAATTACTAAGTTACTTCATGTTTCTCAGGGCCCAGTTCAGCCAGGCGTTGAGTGTCTCTAAGTGTGCAGATCCCACCACTTYTCTGAGCAACCTGTTCCYGTGGTTAAATACTCTGGTGAWTTTTTTTTCCATGTGTGCAGCTGGAATTTCTCTCCCTTTGCTGTGCACATCCCTGATGCCTGTAACTCAGTCTTTCCTAGAACTCCCTATAAGGAAGTTGTGTGCAGCATGAAGACCTTCCCTCAACCTTCTCTTCTCCACATTAAACAAATCCAGTTTACTCAGGCCCTGCTCCCACAGCGAGTGCTGCATCACCACAACCATTTTGGGGTCCCTCTACAGGATTCTCTGCAGTTTGGCCATGTTTTACTAGGAGCCCCAAACTGGACTCAGTAGTCCAAATGAAGTCTTGTGAGTACTAAAAAGAGGATCTTTACAAGTCAAAAGAGTGTCATGAATTAAAACCCTGGCCAGGATGTGCTGAGCTCTCTCAGAACTCTGTCACTGCAATTACTTAAAGGGGGTTACTCMAAGATATTTAAAGAAAGGATGAGAGATAAGGGACACAAACTRAAATACAGGAAATTCCATTWAAATATAAGAAAAAAATGTCTCACTGTGCATGTGGTCTAACACTGGAACAGTTTGCTGAAGAGGCTGTGAAGCCTTCATCCTTGGAGATACCCAAAAGGCAGCTGAACACAGTCCAGAGCAACCTGCTATGCCTGATCCTCCTYTGATGAGCCTCAACTATTCTCTGATTCTGTGAAATGTTAAGTGATATTAAAGACATATGTTTAAGGCAGGTTATAGGATGATCCACGTTTGTATTTTTATTAACATGAGATGCAGAGACGCAGATAAAAGATTGTTTAAAAAAACCAAAACCAAACCTAMCCAKAGAACCCACAAAAAGATGTTAYATTGGAGTTGGTGTTGGGTGGCACACAGAACTTACTTCAGATATTACTGGGTGAGCAATTCTGTGTCAGTAATCACAGTTCAGTCAGGGCAGTGTTGCAGGAGAGAACAACCCAAACATATTCAGTATATGGATATTCATTTTCGAGAGAGGTTAATCCAAGTGAGATTAAAAAAAAAAAAAAAA